TATTATTATTATTTTATGCTTACCACTTTATTCCTATTTTGTTTTTTATTGTTTCCATTGGGCTTCCCAGTTGGTGAAACACAGAAGGAGCGGATGCACAGAGATAATAACTGATGTTGGGTTTGTAGGAGTTGACGGGGTGAGGGGGGTGAGAGGATCTTAGGACTAGACAATGAAGGTGGGAGGGGCCAGGGAGCTAGAACTGATTGCGATCATGGGGGGGGGGCAAGTTCTAACATGAATTGTAGTAGGGACTGTACAATTCTTTTTGCTGTGATTGAACGATCGCGCTATTGCATTGAATGATACGTAGATTAGGTGCCAATACAAATGGACAACACAAAAAGAGCCAGTCACAGCCAGAGACCCACGGGGGCAGTTCCACCCTGCTCGCTAGGGTCGCTGTGAATTGGAGCTGCCTCGATGGCAGTGAGGTTTGGTTTGGTTTAAACCCAGCCTTTCGGATTCTCCTCCTCTTGTCTCTCAATTTCCTTCTCTTCTTTACAGTTTGTCTCTCGAACCAGCGCAGGGGCTTTGGTGGGCCTCGAACAGAGTCTGGCACGGTGGCGGCCTGTAAGTACCTCTGGGATGAGTCATGAAAGTCACGGAATGAAAAGGCATTCTTGGGAGACTTGAACCCTCAGGTGTGCCCCTGCTTGACGGACCAAATACAGTGATGGCTTTTGCGTTCAAATGTTTCTTTTTCAATAAACACGGGCGTGAATGCCTGTACCGGACTGGGCCTTGGTAGGAATGAACAGGGCCAGCAAGGCCCTGAAGCGATGGCCGTGGTTATGGCGGTCAGGGCAGTCTGGGGGATGTCTGAGCAGGGTGCTGGGTCAGCACGGAACTGCTCAAGTCAGGTGGCGGGAAGAGCACTCCAGCTACAAGGACCAGCAAGGGCAAAGGGCCGGAGGCAGGCAAAGGCTTGTTTCTGAGAACAGCAAAAAACTGGTTGGGGCCAGAGTGGGAATGGAGGTACACAGGTAGACAGAGGGAGAGGGGGCACTAGGACCCCTGTCTGGGGCCACTGGTGAGACAGAGGGCACTCCTCCACCCTCCACCCGCAGGATGAGGCAGGGAGCCCCTGATAGCCCACTGGGTGACTTAGGGTCAACGAAAACTTCCATTTCTTCATTGAGCAAATGGGGACCACCACTCCCACCTTCATCAGATTTGTCCAGGTGCCAGCCATCAGACAGGTGAAAGCATGGGAGCTCAAGAAGGAAATCATTAAAAGCATGGGTGACAGTAAAATTCTCAGCAGCCCAGAAAATCTCTCCTTGGGGCGCAAACTCAGCAAGGCAGTCCATGCGGGTGGAGAGCTGAGGAGCTATGGCCCTGCCCCACGCTGTGGGGGTCTCAGGAAGCCACTGCCCCCCTCTGGTGTCAGAAAAACTGGCCCGGATGGGTCAGGACTTCGGATTTGCTCCGAGTGGGGAGGGGGAGGGGGCAGGAAACCTCTCTTTCCACTCCTACCTGTCAAGGGATCTGAACGTTCCATACGCTGCGAATGAACACCTCGACGTCTCCTAGCCCCAGACAGAGGGCCCCGTTTCCCAAAGTGGAGCCAGTCCTGGGGGTGCTGTCACTGCCATTATTTTCCAGGTGAAGAAACTGAGGCACAGAAGGCACCCTGATTGGCTCGGGGTCCCACAGCACAACTGTGGCAGTTAGAAACCAGACCCATCCTCAGCCGTCACAACGTGAGCTACTTACCAACAACCGCGCGCGCGCATGGCACACACACACACACACACACACACACACACGCACACCGTGGCCCCTGCTCTGCCTACTGCACCTCCACGCGAGCAGGGCAGCACACGCAAATGTTCCCAGGGGCAGGGAGCCAAGAAACCGTGTGGCTAGATGTTCCAGTTTTCCAAGAAAATCCAGAAATGTCTACTTT